AATTTAAAAGCACTCTAGAATTGATCAATTTCCTAAATTCGGCTCGAATTCATTCGTGAGTTGCCTGCAGCAACTTACAACCGAATTAAAAAAAAAAAAAAAAAAAATACATAAAAACTCGTGCAATTATAACAATGATCATCTTTATCCGTGATGTATAGGCGGAGCACATGTTACATATGTGTACGTGTGTATTATACGATATTTACTTTCATTATTTTGCAAATAATTCTTTAAATTGCAAATTGTTCACTTGTGCACATCTAAATTACAGAGACACGTTTCCAGAATGATCCAAGTGATCAGGGTACTTTTATCATTTTTCTTAGAAAAATGTATCGTATCTTGTAAATATTGAACATGTACGATGAAACCTCTTTTTTAAATGGTTGGGCGTAATCGTTTTAAGTAATTTTACGATCATAATTATTATATTTAGTATTAAGTGAGTTCAACTTATCAATCACTGTATAAAAGAAGCTAAATCTTAAAAGTGAAATTTATTTTCTCTTTGTTCTTCCTTTGTTCTTGCGAGAAGCTAATGGAAGCTAGAGAGAAGTGTGTTGGAATAACTGAATCTGATGATGAGTCATGAACTCTCTCAAAAATCAGAATATTGGCACATATTAATTCTCATTTACATAACATCATTGACATTTAGGCCCATGATTTGACCAGAGTATATCCTGAAATTTTGTGCCATTTAACCAACACAGAACCCTCACTTACACTCACATGAATTGCTATTTTTAATCGTTCATATCGAACTAATAGCATAAATAACTTTAGAACTTCACCACTTCACAATTGTTTAACGTCCTAAAAGAAGTGGCTAAGTGTTATACAAATGACACTCTATGTAAGATGTAGGTACAAAACCCTCGATTGGTTGTGAAATACGACGAACACGAGTCCACCCATCCCCCTGATCTAATTCAATCATGTACAACTCTTCTCCATCGTACATAGGTATTGAGCCTTCACTAGTCGCTAAAAATATAATTCCCAATTCATATGTATATCTCTAGATTATTAACAAAATACAAAAATTTGACGAAATTTTTGAATATATATACACATACCATCGAAAGGATAAAGAGCTCTACACGTTCCCAATGGTGGTTGAGCATCAATTTCATCAACGTAATATTCTTCTCCACCACTACCAGGAAGCGATGTCCTCGATTCTCCAAGACCAGATTCCGGGCTATTCGTGGAACTGTGCATCAGTACCGTAAAGCGAAAAGCGTGTCTAATTGGTTTAGTTAAAAATTCTGATCTATATTTATACCGAGTCAAAAGCTTATTATTCTTATCGCAAAGATTCTTCTACTTAATGAAAAAAGGAAGTCTTTCACGGTAAATCCTACATTAAATCTGATAATATAATCCGGTATAACGTTAATAAAAATTAAAAACACGAATCCATAGTTAATTAAAGCTTACCCGTGCGTTGGCTGGGGCGTACCCGGAGCACTTTTCTTATGCATTGGTTGATTAGCATTCGTGTTGCTTACGCTTGAATCAGACGCCGATCTTGAAAGACTTTCCTCTCCTCCTGAATGACTGGATCTTCTTGAACTTAGCGGCCTCGTTGCAGAACCATTACTAGTCGGTTTTCGTGGTGCTTGACTGGGGCTAGAAATTTCAAATTGTAACAACTTACATCACGGACTAAGTAGTAGATCGTGAAAGGAATCTATCTATGAAATTTTGCAAAGTCACCTGGATAAACTGATGCCGGCGCGCATTGCTTCCTCAAGATAACCCTGGAACTTTGTCAATTCTGCACCGAGTTTGTCTAGCTTGTTGCTCGATTGGTTCAATTGTCCTTCTATGCTCATCGGGTCACCTAATGCAGGATTTTGCTCGTACACGCCCTTCATCTTCATCAAGCCATCCCTAGCTGCAGTCTCTTGCTGAATTTTCGCTTGAATTTCATCCAACCTCTGTTGCAGTCTCTTTTTGCGTTGATTTGGAGGTAAGTCGCTGCAATCCTCCTTTGCACCGTCGCCATATCCAGCCACGTTGTTCTGGAATATTTCAGTTTAAGTATCCAAATTTCAAACCTGGGTGCCGACGAAAAAAAGAATCTAACGAAGGAATGAACGATGGAAAACAAAAGAAAAGCACGTAATTGTCATAGATGTGACAATACAGTTAATTCTACATTACCAATCAAGAGTTAACAAAACACAAAGTCAACATTTTATATATGCGTCATTATCACGAGCATACTCTTGGAGCTGAACAAACTATCAATGGAATTAAAAAAAAAAAAAAAAAGAAAATACATAAAGAGAAATATTCTTTGATTAATCATTAAAACAGTGGGACTCTGTCAATAAGGACTGTCGTGCAAAAGACAATGACGACAGTGAAGAAATAGACAGACCTTCAAAGCTATGCCCACCTCGATCAACTTCTGTTGTTCGCATGAAACAAATTCCAAAAGCGTATCATTCAGCGAATGAATCAGAAAAAAAAAAA